CATTCTATGATTCTATGATTCTAAGTCTGTCATTAGAAAGCCCTTATATTTTACTATAAGCTGCTTTAAATTTATATTTACAAGAATGCAAATTATTAAGAAATAATTCTAGTAAATTGTTTTCCAGTGTCTTACTGGCCTTGAGTACATATTCATAGACAGATATTTCTGCAGAAAAGATGATGGCTATTTGTATGGTTGATAAATGCATTTCCCATCAATTTGGCCTTATATCCTAAAGTGGTTAATCTTTCTTCTCCATTCATACCAAAATAACCATTTCCCAGACTAAAACATACTGTGTCTTTCCCTTTTTCAAATGCATAGTCTCAGATAAATTATATGTACACTTAACACTTACTGAGTTCTGAGGTGAAGTCACCTTCCACTGCATGGTATATGGAAAAAAATTAATTTCACATTTACTGAGTTCTAAGGTAAGTATATATAGTTTAGAAATATTTTTAGCGAAGACAATTTCTTTTGCAATAGGATCAGCAACATTTTGTAGAATACATAGAATTTAATTAAAAACTTACAGCACCATTCTTTCCATATTCTGATTTACCTTTTGTTTTGCTTCTGTCAGAGCATCCTGATGCTCTTTCTCTGCTTGAAGTAGTCTGTCTTTGTATTCTGATATTTCTCTTTTCATTTCACTTTCTTTTTCTTGTAGTTCTTTCCAGACCATCTCCAAACTCTTAGTCAGTTCATTTTTTTCTGTCATAGTTAGATGCAGCTGAATCTGTAAACAGAAATAGCATGTTCTTCGGTATTTAGAATTTTGTCAATAGATAAACAGTTGACCTGTAAAACTATTTGACTTTACATCTGACATGTCTTTGAAATTCCAAAAACAACTTGGTAAGAAAAAAATGATTTAACAGTGGCTAAACACGCTATAATCAAAGAATGGAACATCTGAACACAAAAGACAGGACAGGAGGCAAAGGAGGGCCTTCTAAAAAGAAACATTATGATCCGAGGGGTACGCTGAGTGCAAGTTTGCCAACAGTGTTAAATCAAGCAGCACTGCCAAAATCAAAGCTTAAACTCTCCCAACATTCTTCTCTCTGAGGGTGACTTGATAGGTTAAGGGTCACCTTCCTCACCCTCTTTAAGATTACAAAACTTTCTAAGCATTTTCATTTTGACCCACTTTTATAACTGTACTTTTTAGACAGCTGGCCTGTATTTCCATACAGGATTTCTGAAAGTTGCAGAAATCTCTTTTCTTTTCCCACTCAAAATCTTCAACATCACAACAGAAACAAGCCCCTGGTTACAAAATTTTGTAAAAAACATTCATAGGTCAGGAGACCACTTAAGCTGGTTTAAATACATAACATTGTTCACAAATAAGATCTACAGTCATCTAGATGGTAAAACAGCCTCTAAGAATTAAATATGAACAAATTAAAAATAAAGACTCTAAAATGATTTCTTCCTTTACTTTGTCCTGAAAGTACTTTCACGCTACTGAAACAATGAAAGTACTTTAATTTTAAAGCAAACTTGAGAAATGTTACATTTTTTGTCTAACATCCTCAGTCTGATGATTGAACATCTGTAGTAGAGACAATTTCTTTGCACTGAGAGATTTCTAAATATCCATCTGTGGTCTTTACACCAAGAAAACATAGTTTCAATAAAAGGAAGTGGGAAAAACTATTAACTAACCATTCTATCTCAGAAGAGAACATGAATTTTTTTTTTAATTTGGAAGCAAGAACCTCTGATGCTGTACATTAGCACAGGTCCCTTGACCAACCTCCACACAACTACTGTACTTGAGCACCTGGCCTTGAACACAGAAATACTACACATCGAGTAACTAACTTCGTTCTTTTCTGAATGTTCTTGAATAAGTTGCATGTCTTCAGCAAGCTTGTTTCTTTCTGCAGTAAATTCTTCCTGTAATTTGGAAACCTTCCGCTCAGTATCACTTAGCTTGATTTGCAGCGCAGTATGACTTTCAGTCAGTTCATTTACCTGAAAATAAAATTTCCCACAATTATTTTTCATTTTCTTATACGCAAGCAGTTTTTAAGATGGGTTGTTTTATTCCCAAGCAAGAGACCAACAAAAGTCCAACTCCAAGCAAGAGTCAGAACAGGCTAACGGGGTTTTCACATGGCAAGCGTCCAATTCTTGTTTCAATTTCTTTTGAGTTTCCAAAGTACTTATTCTTGATATAATAATTTGTCCTTCCTCTTTTGCTTCTACAGGAAAGAGGAAACTATCCTGAGTTATCCGATTACTTAAACTTCTATGCCTACTTCCAAGCAACATTCCCATTCATCCTACTTAAAACACTGTTGTGCTTTCTAGCTCTGCAACTTCAATGCAAACTCATGACTGCATTGAAAACAATTTTAAAAATAGGATACTTACTGTAAAAGTCTGAGGTTAAAGCTATTTTAAGATATAATTTACTAAGGAAGTAGTAAGCCCAGAGGACACTTTATCCTCACTCCTAAAAAGAAAACTCTACCCTAATGGAAATGGTATTACCTTTTTACATAAAGTATTCTTTTCACAAAGTGTAGATTCCAGTTCCTTCTCAAGGTCCTTATAAGACACTCTTAGAACATTCAGGATATCTGGAAAGGTTTCATTATCAGAAAAATGTTGCTCCTTCAGCTTCAACTCAGCAATCAAATTCTGCAGCCTTTTCTTTTCCTGGTGCCAACATTCATGCTCATGTTGCATATGTGTCAGCTGGAAAGACAGCTCCTCTGTTTCTTTCACCTGCTTTCGAAGAGCATCATTTTCCTGCACCTTTTCATCAAGTTTTTGTTTAAAATCCATCAATTCTTGAACAAGTACTTCCCTTGTTTGCTCAAATTTGAAATTTTCTTTTTTTATTTCCTGACATTCCTGTAATAGTATAGTTTTATCTTGCTCAAGACGAGCCACCTGATTAATCAAGACTTGCTCCTTTGCTCTAGCATCTGCTTCCTCCTTTCGAGAAAACTCTAATTTCTTGCTTATGTCTTTGAGCTCAGATTTCAGCAATACCACAGCATTTTCAAACTCATCCTTGATTTGCATCTTTTCTTCCTCCTTTTTTTCTAATGGTTTTGCTGTAGTCAAATTCGAAGACTCTAGTTCAAGGATTCTTTCTTGCTTTTCTTTTAAATCTTTAGCCAAACACTCTTTTTGTGAGGTGAGGACATCAATTTGTAAGTTAAAACATTTCAGCTTTTCAGCCATCTCTTCCTTCTCCGTTGTTAATGTTTCTGCCTCTGCTTTAGCAGTCTCTGACTGAACAATTGCATCTTCCAGATTTTTCTCTGACATCTCCAGTTCTCTTTCAAGCCTCTCTATTTTATCCAGAAGAGAGTCAGCTTTCCGTTCACTCTCTTTCAGCTTTTCAGCAACGTGGTGTTTTTTCTTCTCATCAGATTCGATTTTTACTTTCAGCTTCTCAATTCCATATCGCATTTGGTCTACTTCTTTCTGTGCTGAGCTGAGTCTAGCAGCAAGTTCCCCTTTTTCCATTAACAAGCCATCCAAAGATCTAGAAAGCTTTGAATTTTCCATTTCTGATGAACTTAATTTACTCTGCATCATTTCCAACTCTCTTACAAGCAGCTCTTTCTCCTTGTTCAAATCTGCTGCTTTGTTTTGGAGTTTTTCTTTTTCCAAGGTGAAAGACACAACATCCTTTTCAAAACTTTGCAACTTCTGCAGAAGGTGATCTTTTTCATTTGATAATTGATTTACATCAGATTTTGCAGCATCGAGCAGATTTGTTTGTGTCCTCACTTCACCCTCTAACCTTCTAATAATTTCAGTAGAATGCATCTTACTCAACTCTAGCTCTTTTATTTTCTCTTGTAGCTTCTGATACTTCTGATCCAGTTCTTTTTTATTTTCAGACAAAACACTCAATTCTTGGACAATATGGTTTCTCTCAGCTGTGACTGAAACAAGGTGCTCTTGAAAGCTTGTGATAGTTTGCAGGTTAACTTCCCTCTCTCTTTCTAATTGCTGACATTTTCCCTGAAGCATTTCAATATCATTCTCTGTGAACGAGGCACAGTTCTCACTATTAACTCGCTCAGATATTTGCCGCCTCTGTTCAATTGCAGTTTCAAGAAATTGTTCGTGATAATCTCTCTGGGTCATTTCTACATCTTTCAATGTGTCTGCTGCATTAGATAATCGAACTTTATATGTCTCCAGCTCAGACTTTACTTTCTCAGGTTCTTTTTCTAACGACACTACTCCAAGAGATAATTGCTGCTTATTGACAAAGACTGATTCCAGTTTTTCCTTTATGTCACAGTTTTCTTCCTTAACAACTACAGTACCTTCCTCCAGTTCTGCAAAAGCTGAGCTCTTTGGAGTTAATTGTGCATTCTGAAAGCTCAGCTCTGAGTTTAATTGCTCTACTTCTGTTAGTAAATCAACATGTTTATGGCTTTCTTCTGTTTCATAGATCAGCTTCAAATTTTCAGCAGTTTGTTGTTTTGCCTTCTCCTGAATTGTTTCAGTGGTTATTTGATTTTCATGGAAATCCCTTGCATTCAAAAGTGTACTACTGTTGGAAAACAATGCACTGGCATGGTCTGAAGGGCTAGTTCTTTTTCCTGACTTATTTCTACACTCATGTTCTCCAGAAATCTTCTCACTATAATCTTCTATTAATCTTGCTTCATCGGTCTCAGTTACGTTTTCGCACGCAGAGGTATCTCCTACAGTCATTTTCTCAATGGGGATTATTTTAGGTTTATTGCTTTTCAGCGCTGAGTTTTCAATAGGCACTCCCAATAGATAAGGACTATTGTTTTCTTGTTCAGTGTTCTGTAAGGGTTAAGAATCGATCCATTAAAAAAAGGAAAAGAATATGTATAAGAAAAAAACAAGGTGAGTTTTAAAAGTTTTCTTAAAGTAGTAAAGCTCCTCCTCTTATGTGAAATAAATAGATAGCATCCTTCTCTACTTCAGAACCTGCTTTCTTATGGAAAGGATTTACACTTTTTTATACACACAAGTGTCTTTGGCCAAAAGGTTTTAAAGATACTGAGGGAGAATTTCAGCCAAATCTACTGAAAGACTAAGTGCAAAGATACCACACGTCTCCATATTTTGAGAAAATCTGTGTCTGCCTGACAAAGTGAAAAATTATTAGCAACACTAATGAGGGAAACGTTTACTGCTCACCTTTTAGACACCAGAGAATCGTCAAGGGACACAAGCCCAAATCCTCAAACTATCCCTTTCCAAATTACCATTGTCTGTCAGAGCCGGGCTTACATTTGGCTTCACCTGATGCTCTCATTTGAAAAAATAAAATTGAGCAACTTCAAAACCTGAGGACTCCAAAACAGAACTGAGTCTGAAGGCAGCACCTGAATGATCTATATTGAGTGCTTCATCTTAGAAAAGCTCCAGCTACGTATGGTAAGGAACAGTATTTCTTTCTTCAAGTGTCTATGTATCAGCATGGATGCTCTATGTGAATTGCAAAAAACACATACAAGTGAAAGATTTTCTTCTCTGCAAGGTACAGTTGCTCAGTGTTGCACAGTTGGCCAAAATGTAGAGCTTAGAGATTCTCTGACTAGGAGAACAGTGTTTAACTTTTATTTCTGAGTCTATGTTGACTGGACACTGTAGGCCACTAACACAGGACTTAGTGGTCAAAACTGGAACTCTCACAAGCAGAAAATGAACTTGTTAGATTTGTTTTTAAGGGGAAATAGTCTAATACATTGTATGCAAGAATTAAACTGCTTTTCCTTCATTCTGAGTGAAGTTTTATTCTGCCAATCCTTACAAGGAGCAGCAAAATCTAGTACACTGGTTGCATTCCATCTATAGAGCTGAAAAACAGACAGAGTTGACTGCCAGATTTCTTGTTCCCTTAGGTATTTTGAAGGAATTCAGGCTGAAATGAAAATTAACTTCTGCTACCAGCCCATTCTGTTCTGCTGTTGATAGTACTGAAAAAAATTAGAGGTGTGGAAGCAGTCCTGGTTTGCTTGTCCCGTGAAGGGACATGGAAAGTGTGTGCATCTCTAACCAACCGTGTTAAAGCAGAGATCTAAGCGGAGAGCTCAAGGAGATCTTGTAAGCACAATACAGATACATACAGTGCAGGCACACCCACTAACGCAGCCACACTGACACAGACCTGAAGAAAAACCAAGAAACTAGTGCAAAGTCTTACACAACTCTAATAGACTAAATTTGTTGGTTTTGTCATCATTTGTTATTTCTCATGATCCCTGCGATGCATAAATCAGAACTCAAAGTATGGATTATTTTTCTGCTTTCTCTAAAGAACAGTACCACTTCTGTGGGACACAATTTTAAACATATTTAATTTCAAAATTTAAATTTGGCTTACTGTAAATCAAAGGTTTCACATACAAATGATTTACATGACAGCAATTACGTACATTTTCAATATCCGTGCACAGCAGTGAATGAGAACTTAAGTCAAGGACTTGCAGTTGGAGTCTTGCTGCTTCCAGCTCCAAAGACAGATTCTCAGTGTGTTTTCTTTCTGCTGCCAGTTTGCACTCCATCTCCATAGTCACGTTATTCAGTTTCTGCTGCCATTCTTCCTTGTCAGACAGATTTTGCTGTTTAAGATGATCTATTTCTTTTCTTTCAGAAAGTATAACTTCTTTCAGCTCTTTTATTTCTTCATTTTTCATATTCTCTTGAATGTGAAATTGCTCTTCAAGCACCTTGATGGCCTTCTCATATGTCTGACACAGCATCTGAAGTTCTTCAATTCTACTGTCAAGGTTAGATTTTCTAGGAGTAATACTCCTGGGCTCTCTAATAGAGTCCAATTTGTGATCATTATGACAATTTTCAGCTAAAAGTTTTGTTGCACCTTCTGGAATTATTTCTGCAGAACTGTCCAGCTGCTTCATTTCCTCTGTCCATTTGCACGTACCACTGTTAAAAGAATCAACCACCTCACTTACTTTTGTAGAACAGGGACTTTCAAAAAGATCTGAGGAAGAAACTGTGGACTTAGTTTCATCTAATTTAGACAGCGTGTCATTTTGGCTAGAAGACAGTGGCACTCTTGGATAATCTATATGAGCATTGCTCAGGCTTGTTGACAACGTAGAATTTTCTGCCCTCAGTATTTCAATACAAGACTGTAGCTCAGATATCTTTGAGCTCATACTGCAGTGCTGTTCATATAATTTTATATGCTCGTTCTTGAAAGACAAGAGCTTCTCTCTTACTTCAGCAAAGTGTATTTTAACTTCTTTGCTGGACAATTTTAAATCTTCGTAATCAGAACTGGGTCCAGTACTGCATTCTTTGAGTTCGAAGGATGTTTCCTTGTTATCAAAATACATTCTCAGATCGCTGTTGTCACTTTGATCCATAAGTTCATCAGGAAAAATAGCTTTCTCGACTTCTAAATTTTTATCTGCATTCATTACGTTCTCTTCCTCCTCTGCCACTTTATTAATACCTGTGATGTCATTGGTTTTTGAGTCTTTAAATCCAGAGGCTAGCATGATGTTCTCACTCTGCAACCTCTCACATATTTTCTCAAGCTTGCTCAGATTGTTTATTGTTACTTGCAAAGAGGACGCCAGCAAGATCGATGAATAACTTTCATCCATTCCTTTTTTGCCACAATTCTGAGAATCACTATCATAATTATACTGTAATGAGTGGCCATCTTCATCTAGTACTGTAAGTGGAGAATCTGAAGTTTTCAATTCTTTAACGGACAGTAGTTCTTGCTGCAGTCTCTCTTTTTCTCTCACACTTTTCTCAAGTTCTAGTTCCATGCCTTTTAAAGCAGTCTCCAGTTGCATCACTTCTAACCTGTAGTTCTCTAGGGAGAGCTCTCTGTCCTCAAAATCCATTTGAAGAAGCTCAAGTTTAACTTGGTATTTACTCAGCTCAGCATCTTTTTCTTCCATGGACTTCCTCAGCTGTTCTGAATGGAATCTCGGTTCACAACTAATGTCACACATTAGAGGTTCACTTTTTGTTTCTAGTTCCTTCCCCAGTTGCTCCTTGTCTTGAAATACGATACTAAGTTTCTCTTGCATTGTATTTTGTGTTGCCCTGACATTTAACGTGTCCTGTCTTAAACAGTCAAGCTCCGTAGAAGGCATATGTTGGATATTGGAAAATTCTGACTGTAGTTGCTGAAGTTCTTGAACCAAATTCTTTTTTATTTCTTCTGAGGCTATTAGTTTGCGTAAGATATCTTTCTTCTCACTAAATACCTGTTTCTCTTGTTCTAATTTTGCTTTCTTTTCCTCAAATTCAATTGTCTGCTCTCTCAGAATGCTCATCATGTTTGCATTTTCTTCTTCCATCAATTTATACTTTGCTTGCAAAACTTTGAGCTCTGTTTTGATTTCTTCAGTTCTTGATTCAAGACGTTGTCTTTCCTCCTTGTGTTTTCCAGACATTTCAGAAATTATTTCTTCTCTTTCCTTTAAACTATCAGAAATATTTTTATTTGCTTCCAGTAAAGTTACTTGTTCTTGCTCTAAAGCTCTGCTTAAGTCCCTAAGGGTTGCATTTTCTTCAGTGAGTTCCTCAATTTTTTTGCTATATGAGCAAACCATTGAAGAGATGTCCTTCTTCTCTGAATCCCATGTTCCAGACATAAGCTTCAGCTGTGTTACTGAATCCTCAAGCAATTTGTTATTGATCTTTAAATCCTGAAGCTCAGCTTGTCGGTTTTCTAATTTTTCATTCAGAGTTTGCAGTTGCATGTCCTTTTCCGCAAGAATAGCTAAAGTTTTTTCAACTAATTTTTCTTGTGCCGAAATATCTGCTTGCAAGTTACTAATGTTCTGTTTAGTTTCTGTCACGAAGCTTTCATGCATCTCTTCTACATTAAATAACCTTTCTTCTGTTTCACTCTTTATTTGCAGTAAGTCTTCATACTGCTGCTGCTGATTTGCATTGAGCTGCTTTTGAGCCACTAAGGAAATCTCAAGAGAAGAGATCTGATCTTGTAAAATGGCCACATCCTTAGTTTTTCCTGCTTCTAGAAGAGCTCTTGGACATCCGTGATCCTCAGCAATGGAGCTATTTCCTGCAAGTTGCGTATTATCTAAAACGGTTTTGTCCTGACCAATCTGTAAATCAACTTCTCCATCTTCTGTCATTTCTGAAGTACCTTTTGCTTCTATAAGGCAACGGATTTTTTCATATTCACAAAGCAGGTCATGATAACATTGCTCCCGTTGCAGTCCTTCACTTGCTGCTAATTGTAACTTTTCTTCTAGTTCACCAACTTGGTTGGTAAGCTGGAATATTTTACAGGACATATTTTCTATTTCTTTACAGTGCTTTTTATAAGAATATTCTGTTTTCTGCTGAAGTTCATCAAAAGCTTTTTTTTGTTCCTCTAATCCTGCGCTTTTACGTTCCAGCATATCTTTAAGTTCTCTAATCTCTGTATCTTTCCTGTCATTTTCAGTTTCCATCATTCTGAGTTTCTTACTATGCTCATGATTTTTGATTTGCTGACTTTGAAGGGAACTCTCCAAGTCATTAATATGAGTTAGCATAGCTTCCTTTTCAGACTTAAGTTTATTTATAAGATGATCATTTTCATTTTTCCATTGAGAAAAAGCAGTAGCCTCTTTTTGCAATTCTTCACATTCTCTCTGCTTGAATCCAAGGAGCCTCTGCAAAGCTTCTGATTCTTCCTCCATTTTACTTATTTTACAATTTTGTTCTTTAATATGATTTTCTTTTTCATTGAGTAGGTCTTGGGTAGAACTTTGTTGCTTTTCCATGTCAGCCAAAGTTGTTTTCAGCTTCTCCAGCAGAAGAGAGCTCTCTTGCTTTTTAAGTTTCTCTTCTAGTAACTTCAGCTCTGCTTCCTGAAAAGTATTCTTATCTGTAAAAGAAAACACCGTCAAATCTTTGCCAGTCAATACTGGCAATTTTCTAGACAGAATATTACTACTTTTACTTTTTTCAACTCTCATTCTCATGCAAAGCATTACTCCCAATTTATATCACTGGATAAAGAATTTTTTATATCACCTTAGGCTATCAGACACAATGTACTCATAGATGTTGTCAGCTTTCCACCTGCAGTCTGATACAAGTCTGCACTCCAAGCCAGTCAGCCCTTACTTCTCAGGTGTAACTACCTGTTGTTTCTGTGTCTCACTTTCACCAAATTTTTATATAAAGTAGCACTGCTTTTTTTCTTTTAAACAGAATAGGTCTCATTCCAGTATGTGACCTTCATGTGGGTCAGTCTTATATTAATTTCTACCAAAGAATGTCTAACTCTACACATCATTTTCTAAATTGTCGTAATTGTTTCCCTGCCTTGATAGGAACAGACTAAGAACAACCAAGGATAAGTATGGCAGAGTGGGAAGACATTACATTCCACTAGCTAGCTGGTAAAGGCTGCAAATATTTTATACCATCAAAACCAAATCATCAGTTGAAAGGCAATGAAAAGTTTGGTCATTAATTTAAAGGAAACAGAATCAAATTCAAAAGCTTAATTTTGAAATCTTTCATGAAGTTTGATTGACGCATAGAAACAAATGGGACACTATCCCCTTTTTTTAGTCTGATCCAGTAGAACTACACAGTATATTTCAGGTAAATTCCTGAAAAACTGTATTCTCAATTAGAAACAAACACTGCAAGCAAGACTCAATATTGGTGGTTATGTAACATTTTCTTACTTTTTTTTTTTTAAACTCTGCGAAACACATACAGACTACAAACCAGAAGTTTTCTAGTTTAAATAGATTCTGTGAAATTCAGTTTGCTGATAACTTCAGTACACTTTGATTAATTTCAAAATTGTGTATCTTCAGGAACTGTATATTTTCATAGCAAAAAATTCATTTCCATTTAGGACAAACTCAATGTTAATTAAGAACACTAATCATCCCTCAGTTCTAACATTTTTACTTGATTCACAATGAAACTTTCAGGATTGCAGGAAACATACATCATTACACATGCAACAGGAGTTCTGCAAATTTAAATACGTAACTCACTTTTCATCTTTTCCGCAAAATTCTGGCTCTGCTTTAGAGACTGCTTGATTGTATTCAGTTCTTCCTCAAGTTGGTGGTTCTCTTGCAATTTTTTTTCAAGCTGACAGTCAAGAAGGTTTTTCGCCTGCTTCACTTCCTAAACCAAAACCGAATAAGATCACATTGCATGTGAATAGCCAAGAAAATCAATTTCATTCATTTAAACCAAAAGAAAGATATTCCATTAGGTCCTATTAAGTCTTTGGGCCTGGGTTCCTAAGGACTGCTTGGGAACATAAGCTGAACTATTCTTAACTAGTCGACAGCAGCTCAGAGATGCTTCCAGTTGACAGAGTTAGCAGGCTCCTGGTTTGCATAGGGCAAACAGCTCCACATGACCTGCCCCAAACAGATCGAGTCAGGATAGGATATATCCTACAAAATCTGAGTTGATGAAGTTAGGCTACTTTCCCAAAACAACAAAGGGAACAAATCCCTGCAATGGCATCAAAATTAACAAATATATAGATCAGATTTCACCTATCATCTCATGTAGATACAAGTTCTCTTTCCACTGATCATCATCATCATGGCAACATTGGTCAAATTTTATTTAGAAGTGCTTACTCTTTCAGAGAGTTATTTTGGCATTAAGAGTATTTTCTTCCAAGTAAAATGAGTTTAAAAAAAGCAAAACAAAACACAAACAAAGCTATGTAACTACATTGCATCTAGAAAGCCAACTAAAAGTTCTTTTAGGGAAACTAATCCTTTTTCTCCAAACTCCTGTGCTGCTGGACAACAGATGGCATGGAACTGGCATGGCCCAATTGGAAACAGGCTGTCAATTATTCACCCGTTTACTACTAGCAGATGGGCAGCAATTTACAAAAGCCAAGCTCAAGAAATGGAAAGGTCTGGATGAAAAAAATTAAATGCTTTCTGGCATGGCAGGCTTATTTTTGCAGCAACATAAATAAATCAACCTCAGAACACGATTAAAATTGACACTGTCACTAACAGTTACCTCTCCTTCTACTCATAGCCTTTCCTATCCACAGTTTAAAAAAAAAAATCTAGTCACATAAAAGTTTCAGTGAAGAAAGTTTTCTAGTAATCTTAACAATAATTTTTCAAAGAAGTACAAGTGTCCAAACTTCTTGCCTTCAAAGCGCCATACACAGATGCAAAACAAGTACACGAACTAAACAAGCCTGTTCATTAGAAAATCTAGGGTGATTTATGGAAAGAAAAACAAACAAGTTTAAGGAATTAAAACAGCTGAATGGTCCAATTACTTTGATTTGGTACAAACATTCCCAATAAGCAGCACTCAGCAAAACCCAGGAACCTATTATTTAACGGACGAAGTATCTGATAGTAACTAGCCATTTACACTTTCCAAAGCTATAGGCAAAATAAGCAACTTGGTTTCAAGCCAGTTATCAATTCTACTTGTACGTTGTTTCACTTAAGTTAGCCATTCTGCAATTGTCCCTCTAAAATCCCAAAACCAAACCAAAGCAAACTCCAGTATTATTATTGTGGAGGGGCAGATTACAAGCAGAGTAAGGAGAGACTGACCAACTTTTCCAAGAACAGTTACGGGCTTGCTTGCACCATGAAAATGTAAACCACATGCTGAAAAGCCAGAACTGCTAAGCTATTGAGATATCACCATCAAGACATCACCATTGCAAATGTTTGTAGTCCTTAGACTAATCGTATCCAGTACGTCTCACAAGTCTGTCTGCTTCGCAACTTTTTTGGAACAGTGGTCTTATTATACAGTGGTGGATTAACCAGCAGAAAACAACTGAGCTCTCCACTGAGTACTTAGACCATTAGTCTAAGACCACAACAATTTCCCTTTAATAAAGGAAAAGAAATGCCAATCTCACTCCTGTTTTCTTGTGCTACAAAATCTACTGTCAAAGCCTCCAAGACTTCGAAATAACTTGATGTAATTTTTTGCATTATACTTATTTATGAGAGTGAGGAAGACAAGCCATGCCCTTACTTCTTCTGACGTATACCATGCTTTCTCACGTGTGAGTCTTGAGATAGAAAGAACTGTGGTGTTACTGATATCTTCAAATATGACAATTTCCCTCAGATTAAGCTTCTTTATAAATTTATTGGTCATGTTCTAACACAACATCAGTGTCATCAGCTGTTCAATTGTCTGACCCAGACAAACAAATATGAAGAAAAAATCTAATTATAGTTACAGTCTAATGAAGCACCCCCAAGAATTTACAGTAAAAAAGGTATTTCCGCAAATGAGATGCTTTCTGACAATGAGATCTCAAAAAAAACCTGTACCAAATCTAACCTTACTCTATAATTTCAAAGCCAGAAAGAGCATAAGCCCACAATATCAGATATAAACTACCTTTCTTTTGTTTTTTATTTAAAACCATGAAAGATTACATCAAGAATGTGCAGAAGCTTGATGGAGGCTTCCCTCCTCTGGGACACATAGGAAGAAAATGATCTTGATTAGCCTTACCACTGGAAGGCACTGGACACATCTATTTGCTAAATAGGTTTTGAGGACCGCTATCTGTCATTGAGTGGCATGGAACAGCCCATATCTGTACCACTAAAGCCTTCTATCTTCCAAAACAGGTGGCTCTAACCAAACTGCTTGCTGGGAATGGTCCCAGGCTCATATGAACACCCAAACTGTGCCTGGGAATTGTATAAAAGAGCGCTAGTCAGCTGGGCCAAAGTCATGCAAAGTGCTGTTCTAACAATTAACAGTATAAATAGTCACATTCCAATACCTGGGAATGTTCCCAGACATTGTAATTTACCAGCATGAATGTACCTAAAGTTTCACAATATACCAAAGCTGTATCAATGTTTGTGTTGATCTAAACAAAATCCACTATTTTACTTTAAATTTGTTCATAGAATTTTGACAGGTAAATTTTTGGCAGAAATTATGCCAGATTATTTATATCTGCTTGTGGCAACAGGCAACAAGAAAAATTGGGGTGTTAAATAAAACAGTGACGTGGATTACACAGGTATTGACTTTTCTTTCTTTCCTACTTCTGATTCTCCAAATAAAGAATAAAATTTGCGTTGAGAGGTCTCTAGTGACACAACTGTAACAATTTCAAGTGTAGCTGCTCTAACTGTCTCCAAAGCAAAACAATATAACTGAGAAGACAAAGGAAACATTAAAGTGAAAAGGTTTCTGTATGTGTGAATATGAGGTAGTATGGCAGTATCCAGAGACATCTCTGAATTTCTCTTTATTTGGGGGAAAGTTTTTACAGCAGTATATACTAGTTGGACTGTGTTTCTTCTAGGAAAAATGCATTTAAAAAAAAAAGATATAGTAAGTCTTTGCACAAGATCACTGAGTTTGGTAGTGTGCATCAAAGCCATGGTCAATAATTCTAGAATTTCCTTTTAAAATCAAACATTGACATATTTTTATTTCAGGATCAAAAGCAATATCTCTTGAAACAAAAGCTATTTTTGATAAAAGATAAGCCCAACATGAACTAGAACCATATCAGCAGCATTACAGCAATGAATCCAAACCATGAAGTCAAATTCACAGATTGCATTAATCTACCTGACATTAGTGAAGACTTAATTTTGTGTTACAGCTATAGATAATCCATAAAAGTGTTTAAAGACTGCATATGGGAAAATATGCTATGTGAGTAAATGCTTGACAGCACTAGTGTTTACAGACGGCCAACTTATGCTGTTAATTCTATTGTCTGCACTGGTTACCTCAAAGCTTCTTGTCAAATCACTTTCCTTAGCCTGAGCTTCTAATAAAGCTTGCTCTGCTCTGCACAGCTTCTGGGTGAGTTCACTGGTATCATGTTCCAAGCGTTGTTTCAATGCCATTACCTGTAAGAATGTTGAAAATTGACATTGTATTCACAGGCATATACAACTTCTGTTTTTAAACTCTCATTCTTGAACTTCAACATTCTATTACAAAATAAAACTACGTTATTTTGTCCCATCATGAACCTAAGGTTGCTTTACTGTGCTTAGAAAATAGCTGCTTATTGCCTTGCCAATCCTTTGCCTCTGATGAGAAAGATGGTATGTCTCTAAAATACATATATTTTTAGACTGTACAAAATTAGATTAATACATGCAACTTGCAGTTGCATCACCACAATGATATCTGTAGGATACAAATGAGATTGGGAATGTATTATCCTTTTTGCTAAGCTATGAGAATCAGAAAGTTAGGATTATAACTGCACTTATTGCTCCATTGACACAAATTTTATAAAAACTGAACAGGTTCTAGCTCTTTCAAAAGGGTCCTACAATGCTCCAGATTAAAAAGTAAGAAAATGCCATTATCAAATCAAAAAGGGGGAAAAAAAAAAGTCTATTCTGAGGTCATTAGGTAATAAATCAGCTTTCTTGGAGAAAGAACTAAAAGGCACCTACTTTTCTCTCTATTAAATCAATTTCTTCAGTAAGCATATTCAAAAGAATGTGCATATTAAGAAACCTCCACTGAAAACATTTGACTGAATGTATTTCCATGGCTGTATTTCTAAAATAAAACAAGCCTGCAAGAAAGCTGTTGTCAGTCTTAGAAATGTTGTTTCAGTTCAGCGTGCTTGCTAATGAGGCTTCTTAATATAACTTGCAAAAACTTGTGGCCCTTTTTAGAAATTCAGTTAGCTCTGCTACCTTTTAGCTGCTTACAAGAGTCTTTTGAGGCCTTTCGTAGAACCATAGAATGGTTAGGGTTGGACCTCAAAGATCATCTAGTTCCAACCCCCCTGCCCCTCCACTACACCAGGTTGCCCAAAGCCTCATCCAGCCTGGCCTTGAACACTTCCAGGGATGGGGCAGCTACAACTTCTCTGGGCAACCTGTTCCAGGGCCTCAATACCCTCAGAGTGAAAAAAATCTTCCTTATATCTAATCTAAATCTGCCCTCTTTCAATTTAAAACCATTGCCCGTTGTCCTATCACTACATGTCCTTGTAAAAAGTCCCACTCCAGATTTCTTTTAGGCCCCCTTTAAGTACTGGAAGGCTGCAATAAGATCACCCCGCAGCCTGTTCTTCTCCAGGTTGAACAGCCCCAACTGTCTCAACCTGTCTTCATAGGAGAGGTGCTCCAGCCCTCGGATCATCTTCGTGGCCCTCCTCTGGACCCTCTCCAGCAGCTCCATGTCCTTCTTGTGTTGGGGACTCCAGAGCTGAATGCAGTATTCTAGCTGGGATCTCACGAGAGCAGAGTAGAGGGGCATTCCTCTTTTCTAGTCACTCCCTCTTTGGGCTTGGCTGCTTTCTAACTTCCTTAAAATTGTGGTTTTGTTACAACTAATGTATTCTAATAGCTAGTTGCTGCCAAAGCTGTGGAAGACCACCTTCACACCGATGTTCCTCCTTACACAAGCCCTGATGCTCACCTGATTTTGTGGAGAAACAACTCAGGGAGTCAAATGGACAGCAAACACTTGTGCCTGTGCACACAAATGATAATTTATACATCATTACTTATATGATCTTCTAGCTCCTGTATCAGCTCTCTGCAGGGTCCCATGAGGGGTAGCACTGCTAAAAAGGAAGTACCAGGAGCCAAGGCCAGGCTGTATGAAATGGGGCTGTTGTTCCAAAGGGCAACTACCTGTTGATCAGTTTAGCTCTGTCACCAAACTGCACCTCTGCATGTTTTCTATAGAAGGTGTCTCTTGTGATCAGCCTTAGCTGCTCCTCTCTCAAACAGGTTTATTTTAGCTGCACAGTTCTGAGTTCACGTCTCCTTCCCTGTAGGAAGTGAACTAGCCCCAAATTTTTAAAACCCATTAATTTACATTTAAATACATAGTATTTCAGTGAGAAATGGTGAATACAAAACAGCTAATGGAAACTGTACAAAACATTAATACAAATGCCCACATTAAGTATTTTTTGCTTTATGCAGAATTAAATTAAGGCAGTACTGCTGAGACAACGAAAAAACAGCTCTAGTAGAAGATTTTAATGTAAATAAGCCTACTTTGTCAAATTCTGCCTGCAGAGTGTTGAAGTCATTTTTGGCTTGCTGTAGCTCCTGATTCAGTTTGTTCCTTATCTGGTTGCACTGCTGATCCAGTGTTTGCAATGAACGTTGCTGACAGGAGAGTTCCTAGAAAAGTGGTACAATAGCAAAGAAATAGATACGTAACTGCAACAACTCTCTGTTTTCCTTACTGGAGCAGTAACAACTGATCTTCATTAGCAGATACTGCCTGCTCGGAGACACTTGTCTTACACAGCGAAAAACAGTTTAAAAACAGCTTTGATGCACGCTGCAAACATCACATGGGCAAGAATGGCCCTAACCCTATTTATGTCATCTGCTTAAAAACTCCATTAGAGCAACATTCTTATCACAGAACAGGAAAAAAAAAAAAAAACAACACTAAAACTAGTAAAAATAATTCTATTAAAATTCTTCATCTTAAAGATAGGTTTCGAATAAGCATTACATGACACAACAAACAGACAAATTCATAGAATGGTTTAGGTTGGAAAGGACTTTAAACATCACCTAGTTCCAACTTCCCTGCCATGGGCAGGGACACCTTCCACTACACCAAGTTGCTCAAAGCCTCATCCAACCTGGCCTTGAACCTGGTTGTACACCAAGTTGCTCAAACTTCTCTGGGCAACCACAACTTCTCTGGGCAACCTGCTCCAGGGCCTCAATACCCTCAGAGGGAAGAATTTCGTCCTTATTATCTAACCTAAATCTACTCTCTTTCAGTTTGAATCCATTGCCCCTTGTCCTATCACTACATGCCCTTGTAAAAAGTCCCTCTCCAGCTTTCCTGTAGGCCCCATTTAGGTACTGGAAGGCTACAATAAGATCACCCCGGAGCCTTCTCTTCTCCAGGCTGAACAGCCCCAACTCTCTTAGCCTGTATTCATAGGACAGGTGCTCCAGCCCTCGGATCATCTTCATGGCCCTCCTCTGGACCTGCTCCAACAGCTCAATGTCCTTCTTGTGTTGGGGATCCCAGAGCTGAATGCAGTATTCCAGGTGGGGTCTCACGAGAGCTGAGTAGAGGGGCAGAATCACCTCCCTTGACCTGCTAGCCATGCTTCTTTTGATTCAGCCCAGAATATGGTTGACTTTCTGGGCAACACATTGCCGGCTCGTGTTGAGCTTCTCATCAACCAACATCTCCAAGTCTTTCTCCTCAGGGCTGCTCTCAATCCATTCTCCGCCCAGCCTGTACTTGTGCTTGGGATTGCCCCGACCTACATACAGGATCTTGCACTTGGCCTTATTGAACTTCATGAGGTTCACACAGGCCCACCACTCAAGCATGTCAAGATCTCTCTGGATGGCATCCCTTCCCTCCAGCTTGTCGACCACACCACACAGCTTTGTGTCGTTGGCAAACTTGCTGAGAGTGCACTCACTTCCACTGGCCATGCAATTGACAAAGATGTTAAACATCACCAGTCTCAATACTGATCCCTAAGGAGCGCCACTCCTCACTGGTTTCCACTTGGACATTGAGCCATTGACCACAACTGTGCTAGGTTTATGTGATGGGGTTTTGGTAGTAGAGGAGGGCCTGCAGGAATGGTCCCTGTAAGGAGCTGCAAGAAGCTTCCCTGGCTCCAAATCCAGCCGGACCTCCCTCTGGCCGGGGCCAAGCCAATTGATGCCTCTGCAAACGACATATTTAAGAAGGGGGCAAAGGAACCCAAGCCATGTGGGACCTGCAGAGAAAAGAGGGGGGAGGTGGGTGACTAGCTCCCCCCGGCCTCCTGGGAGGGTGGCTGCCTGCATTGGTGCCACCACCACTCAACTGGAGGTGGATGAGGCGGCACAGCTTGGAGCGCTCCAAAGACCCTCGCTCCCAGGGCACCCGCTAGGTGGAGTTCATCCTGCTAGGACTGCCAAGGTCCGTCAGGCCCAGCACAGCTGTAGTGGAGAGAGGACTGAGATCTGAGAGAAACAGCTACACAGACAGCAAGGTCAGTGAAGATGGAGCAGGAGGAGGTGTGCTAGAGCTGAGATTCCCCTGCAGCCCACGGTGAGATGGCAGGCTGTCTGCCTGCAACTCATGAGAGAAATGTTGGAGCAAAGATCCACCCACAGCCTATGAAGGACCCATGCCAGAGCAGAGATATCTGTGCCCAAAGAAGTTTGCAGATGGCTATCTCCAGTGGGAAGAACTCCCACACTGCTGGAGATTGACAGTGGAGCACAGATGCATCTGCAGTCCATGAGAAGGGACTCCATGCCAGAGTAGGCGGCTGCACCCTAAGCAGCCGTGACTCCATGGGAAAAGCCCATACTGGAGCAATCTGATGGGTAAGGATTGCATTCTGCAGGAAGGACTCACATTGGAGAAGTTTCTGGATAACCCTCTCCTGTGGAAAGGGAACCCATGGGGAGCAGGAAAAGAGCGTAAGGAGTCCTTCCTCTGAGGAAGAAGGAGCAGCAAAAGTAGCATGTGATGAACTGACCTGCAACCCCCACTTCCTGTCCCACTGTGTTGCTCTGGGTAGGAGGGAGAGACAGAAAGAAGGGAGAGGTAGGGGAAGGTGTTCTTAAGATCTGGCTTCGTTTCTCATTATCCTCTCTGAAGTAACTGATAATAAATTGATTTGTCCCCAAGCTGAGTCTGTTTTGGCCAGGGCCATGATTGGTGTGTGATTCCTCCCTGTTATATCTCAGTCCTCAGGCCTTTTGTGTTTTTTTCTCTCCAACCCAACTGGAGGTGGAAGAGGAGCAAGTGAGCAGCTGCATGTGCATGGTACCTTAGCTATTGACTGGGCTAAACCATAACACTCTATCACTTGGGGAAGGAAGTGATCATCAATGCATTCCAGGAAACTCCTGGATTGCTTGTGCCCTGCTGTGTTGTCCCTCCAACAGATATTGGGGCGGTTGAAGTCTCCCATGAGGACCAGGGCTTGTGAACATGAGGCTGTTCTTATCTGTCTATAGAGGACTTCATCTGCTTGGTCTTCCTGGTCAGGAGGCCTGTAGCAGACCCACACTATAACATCACCTGTTCCTGCCCTCCCTTTAATGCTGACCCATAAACTCTCAGTCAGCTCCTCATCCATCCTCGGGTGGAGCTCCATGCACTCCAGCTGGTCATTGACAGAGAGTGACACCTCCTCCTTGTCTCCTCTGTATGTCTTTCCTAAAGAGCCTGTATTCTTCCATCCAACATTCCAGTCATAGGAGCCATCCCTTCACATCTCCACAATGCCAATAAGGTTACTGCCCTGCAGGTGTGCACTCATCTCTAACTCCTCTTGTTTATTCCTCATGCTACGAGCATTTGCATAGAGGCATTTAAGCTGGGCCTCCAATGAAGCTGATTTACTGGCTGGAATTCCTTTTTGCTGCTCCTCAGATGCGCTCAGCTTGTCACAGGAAAGCCTGATATTATCCCCCTCCCACTTCAAGTCTAGTTTAAAGCCCTGTCAATGAGCCCTGCTAGCTCATGTGCAATTCTCACTTTGAGAAAAGTGAATCCCATCTGATGCCTGGAAGCCTGGTGCCGTGCAGGCCATCTCATTATAGAAAAACACAAAATTGTGGCAGTGACACCAGCCCAAAGCCATGTATTAATAAACTGGGCACATCTGTTTCTTCCAATGTCGCTGCCTGCAACTGGGAGGAGAGGAAAAAATAACCTGTGCTCCAGATTCCTTTACCAACTGTCCCAAGGCCCTGAAGTCTTTTGAGAGATCGTCTCTGCTATTATTTACTTACCATACCATAGGATTGATTTTTTTTTTCCCAAGGAAAATTAAAAATTAGTCTTAAAATAATACCTAGCATGGGACTGAGCAACAAGATAATTTTACAATGGCGGTCATGAAAACTGCACAAAAAAATACTGTTCCCAGAACAGACTGTTTGAAATCTGTAGAAGGACAATACAGTTCGTGTGGATCTTACAACATGCCAAGTAGGCCTCCAGTAGGATGAATAGCTGTACTTGTCGTTTCTCATGAGGTCTGTTTCTATGCCTTTGGACCTTGTAGTTGTGACTCTGCACAGATCGCAGAGGTTTATCAGGATGCAAAACAGTAAGAGGCATAAGGGTAATAAAAAGCAATGAAGGAAAAAACCAGGATATTTACCAGCAATAATTGCTAGGCAAAAGTTGCAATATGCTCTACTGGCAAATTCTAAGACCCTTGTGAAGGGGAAAAGGCAATAAAGCTCTTGTGCTTCTCATTAGTTTTAGAGAATAGGCATAGTTACTTCATACAGCCAAGTTGCTTCACTAAAAGGGACTTTACTATACTGTCACCACTCAAACAAAAAAAAAAAACACCACACCAAAAAACCAAACCAAAACAACAACAACAACCAACCAAACAAAAGGAAGCAAAAGTTCAGTGAAGGAACTAGAGCTGACATTTTATGCAACGTGGCTCTGGCTCGCAGATGCATGAAGCCCCTGCACACAACTCAGTGTATTTCAGCCAGTGATATCTGTGAAACGATGCCAGCACCCCGTACGTGCTGCTTGAGAGCAGACAGCACAAGAGGCCTAAGCACTTCCTACACCTGTAAGACATCCAGTAGACAAACAGCTCTTGTTTATCAATGAAAGTATGGATCAGCGTAGAACTGTCATAAACAGAAACCTCTGAAAGATCATTGTTAATATATATGTCTGTACGTGTGTATATATATAATTTACCATTTTTCTACAGAGAACCCAATACCAGTAAGCGTGCAATCGCATTCCCACACAAGAAGGTGACAGAAGCACTATACAATCTAGACCGGAAAGACGTGACACCAGTTGGGTGTCACAGTAGCTGACACTACTCACTAATGCTGAGTGAAGTACATATTAGCTCCAGAGCTCTTCTGCAAACACCCAGAGTCAGGTGCAATTCCTGAGCTCATGCAAGGAGGCCCTTTGGACCCTAGTGCAATCCTTACTAATGAAATTATGAATTCCATCTCTTTATGTCCAAAAGCCTTCCAATAATTATTTCTAGAGTTGATAGACTGAAGAGACTCTTGCTTTCTAAGCCCTATGTGTTACAGTGTAAGAAAGAAACCACAGAAAACCTTTCTTTCTTTAGATGAATGCTCAAAACAAAAGTGCTTCCTCTAGTTTTATAAAATCATAGAATAGTTCAGGTTGGAATGGACCTATAAAGGTCATCTAGACCAACCCACCCTGCGATGAGCAGGGACATCTTCAACTAGATCAGGTTGCTCAGAACCCCATCCACCCAGATCTTGAACATTTCGATGGATGTGGCATCTACCACCCTCTGGGCAACCTATTCCAGTGTTTCACCACCCTCATTGTAAAAAATGTCTTCCTTATATATCTAGTCTAAATCTACCCTCCTTTAGTTTAAACCTCTTGTCCTATCGCAACAGGCCCTGCTAAAAAGTTTGATCACATCTTTTTTAAAAGCCCTCTTGAAGTATTGAAAGGCTGCAACAAGGTCTCCCCACAGCTTTCTCTTCTGCAGGCTGAACAATCCCAACTCTCTCACAGCCTGTCTTCATAGAAGAGGTGCTCCAGCCCTCTGATCATTTTTGTGGCCCTCCTCTGGACCCACTCCAACAGGTCCACGTCTTTCCCATGCTGAGGACTCAGAGTTGGATATAGTACCCCAGCTAGAAGCTCACCAAAAGAAACTAGAGGGGAGAATCACCTTCCTCAACCTGTTGGCCACACTTCTTTGAGGCAGTCTAGGATACGGTTCACTTCTGGGCTGTAGGCACACGTTCCTGGCTCATGTCCAGCTTTTCATCCACCAGTACCTCCAAGTCCTTCTTCTCAGGGCTGCTCTCAATCCCTTAATTCCCCAGTGTGTACTGGAAGTTGTTGCCCCAACCACGGTGCAGGATCTTGCACTTGGCCTTGTTGAACCTCATGAAGTTCACGTGGACCCACTTCTCGAGCTCGTCCAAGTCCCTCTGGATGGCATCCCATCTCTCAGGCATGTCATCTGCACCACTCATCTTGGTGGCATCTGTAAACTTGCTGAGGGTGCACTCGATCCCACTGTTTATGTCATTGATTAAGATATTGACCGATTCTGGATGTCAAAAAAACTAATTATTCACACCAAAGCTAAAAGCAGAGGCTCCTTCCATTACCAGCAGGCAAACAGCTCCAGAGTGAAGATCCACATCTAAGGTATCTGGAATAACCTGCCTTCTGAAGGTGCCTCTGTCTCTGCAGAGTAGTCCTAAGTAACAAGCTTAGACTGACTCCTAGTTTCAGATATCTGAGGTAAGGTGGTATGTATGAATCTCGCCTTTTCAATTTGAAGCTTTTATGGAAACATTTAAATGAAATTTGAGAAAGAACATTGGAAACTATGCCCTGACGCAAGTGCAACTCAAACTACCTTGTGTAACCATCTCGCAACAAGGCATGGGGCTTCTCAGGTCTTTCTGAAAGTTCGTGAAATGCATTCCTGAATGTCACTTGCCTTCTGGAAACAGAAGCGTAACAAAGAACACACCAGCAAGGCTTTACAGGAAGGAATTCATTAAGATCAGCACCAGTATCTAGGTTTCACAAAAGGGAAGAATCCCTCTCTGAGGAAAACATACAAATCAGGATTTCCACAATATTACACAAATTTGGATACCAGAATGTGTAAAACAGTCTTTAGGTTGGACTTAATAGTCAAATATTATAAATAAATATTAAACAAACTTCATAGAAGCCTAGAACAGCTCATACATCACTAACATTACAGAAAAAAAAAAAAGAATTCTTCATAGTTAATGGCCTTGCTGAATAACCTAGAACAGCAGTATGTAGATTCACATATTAGTCTTATGAAGGCCTTTTTGTTTCTAACTACAAATAAACTGTGCTTCACAGGAACAGTTCCTCCTGCCTAAACCACCACAGCATGGCACCTAAATTGCCTGACATTCAAGCTATCAGCTGTTCACACAAGCTGTAGCAACAAACAATACATGGGGAGGATGATGTGCTGCTTATCTGAAAAAATGTCTCAGAAATATCATATTCTTAAATGATCCCACTGAACGGAGTGCCAGTGCCCAAAGGGCATGCAGAAGGTATAGCAAAGCCAGCGTGGACTGGGTTTGTAAGGAGAAACCATGACCTTCATCGACCTTTAGCCCATTTTTTGATGAATACAAGGACTGCTATATTTGAATCTTTCAACAGTGCTTTTTTCATGCTACAACTATTCAAATACAAAGGTCAGTTCTCCTTTTTTAACACTGCTAGACAAGGTTCAGTATCTCTCTGAGATCCAGGGTTAGCATCTAGATTAACAGACTTCGTGAAACCACTTTTTCTACTCTGGAGCACTGGTAGCAGCACTGTTCATTGGCCACTCCAGCAGAATTCCTCTGCCAATTATTTTATTTTTCTGGATATACCTTGAGGAAAAGGTTTCAGATTAAACAGTTGACACAACAGCAGTCTTCAAGGCAATGCCTTACCTCATCCCCAAAGCAAACTTAAAATGTCTATCTGAAATGGCACTATCACTTCCAAATCTGTGTCTTGGATTTCCTAACACTGATTATATTAATAAGCTTAAAAAGAAAAATACAAAGAGTTTAGACCTAATCCAAATCAGTGTTAATGCTAAACATAAATTCACTACAGAACAGTTCCTGGGATGCTGCTACATGTTATCTCTCTCTTTTCCTTCGTGCCAGCTCTTGCAAAGACACTTATGCTAATCTAATATTTTACCATCTTCTGAGTATGAACCAAAATTAGAACAATAGAGATACAATCCTAAAGAAATTATTCTCTTGTGTGCAAGACGCTTGGAAAATTCACTGATTCCAGAGAAATAACTGAGTCAATTAAGTTTGAACTCATGTATACATAATTCTTTGAATGATGAAGCCAGTGAAGCCTAGTTTCTCATGGATTTGTATCTCAATTGAGTCTCTTGCATGTATTCTCTCCTGTCTAGTGAATACTCATAATTCTGCAGCTCTCCAAGAGCCTCTCCCCTCTATTGGGATGTTTGCTTTCAGTTTTTCAATTGCCCTTGCAACTTTTACTTCTCTATCAAATGTGATTGCAATTAACTGAAAAACAGATACACAAAATAAGCCATGTGATTTCATCTTCTCCAGTCAAAATTAAAAAGTTCTTCTTGCCTCACCTGTTGGTATTCCTTTTCCTTTGACTTTATTTTCTGTTCTAAGGACTGACGAGCACTCTCAGCATTTTGTCTTTGGCAATTCAGTTCTTCTGACAATCTTTTCACCTTTTGCTCCATCATTTGGACCTATAATAATTTAGTTATCAATCACAAGCGTTAGAAATGCAAGTGACATTTTACTTATATTTCTATGCATTCATATAGAAAGACTGATTTCACCTACTACAATTATTGTAGCATTCACATAACCTACAGTGTAACTTTAGCTGGTACTGTACAAATTCTTAGCAATCCAAAGGACTAAACTCATACTTACTTATGTTAGTGATAACGTGTCTATATAGAGAGAATATATAATTGTGTATATATATAAATATAGTTAAGTGTGTATATATATACACATGCATATACACAGACACACACAAAACAGACATCTTCAGAATATCAGTGTCTTTGACAGTCTACAGAAACGTGCTATATCCGACACTAAAAACAGATTCTGTTTTCAGTACCTCAGCTTGCTGTGAACTAAAGAATGAACATGAACTGCTAAAAAACTACATATTTAGACTGAAAATAACTAGATATTCCACTGAATGTCAGAGTGATTCAGCATATTGATTTGGATTGGAAAACTAGAGGCAACTATCTTAGCCTACTTCAACAACAACAGAAGAGTGTTTTTCACAATTTAAATTAAAAAAAATGACGAGTAGTCTATGTTCTAGGTTAACCTTCACGTTAAGAGTATGTCAACTTGTTATTTAATTCAATTTATTATGTTAATATTACATTACCTAAGCAAGGAAAGCAACGTCCACCTAACTCCCTGAACAGAAAACCTAATTTTTATTCAAAAAACAATCTGCTAATGCAAAATAGGAACGATATTTTTTTTCCCCCCAGGCAGTAAGAAAAATGGCAAAGGGTAAACAGAATTATTTTGTTTTCCAGCAACAACAGCTGTTTAATGATTTAGTGAAACAATAATCCATCTATATCATAAGAAAATCAGAAGCAGGTACTAGTATTGGGATGTCGGGTTATTAGGCACGGACTTCAGGGATTGTGAGCTCCGGTACGATCACATGGAAACTTGCCTGCAGAAGGGCTGCAGACCTCTGAAGATGTGAAAATACTTGACAACACAGAGGAGGTGCTGTGGTTGAGGTCTGTGAAAAGTACCACTGCCAGAGAAGTGCACAAGGGGCATGCTAAAATTAAATTAAGGCTATGAGGTAGGAAACTAAAAGGCAGAATCTCAATGCAGTTCTACATCCACAGCCCACGGAGCAGGCAGAGATCCCATTTCAGCGCAAGAAAGAAGAGAGAACAACCTCCAGATGGCAGGACCAAAGGAACTTTCTGGGACAAGATGCTGCACTGCACCTCAAGGATGGGCTGCACATCAATTCAAATGGGGTCAGTCAGTCCCACTCCTCCTCATTCTTCCCCAGGCATGTTCCTAGCTATAGAACCTTGCCCCTTCCCTTATGCTGGATTTAAAGCCTCTTTGATTCCTTAGTTACACAATTCTGCTGTCAAACTTGTAGAAAATTAACGAGGCAAAATTAAATATGTAATATCCTAATCATTTAGGAAGTTAGGTCATTTGGGGAATCAAATAAATGAAAAGAAAAGCTTTTTCAAAGGAATTGAGCTGTTAGGTTGGGTCAGCTGTCTTCCCACAAACTCACTGTGATGACAATGCCTTTACATAGTCAATACCTTGACTGTGTCAAGACTATGATTTTACCCTACTCCCAGCCAACACTTACCCTAAACCAGTTCTTCACAGAACTAGCAATAGCTGAATGTTGCTGTCTCTCTCAGAAAGCATACTGATTAACCCTCAACATGCAAAGGTTTATTTTTTTAAGGATCAATACAAGAGCTGAGGGAAACAGCAGCTTCCCGATATACTTAGGTAGCATGTAGAAACTTGCTAACAAAGATGGATAACAATTATTATATCCTGAGAAGATACACACAGAAACGTCTTTTTTCCTATCCTGTAGATGAATCAAAGAAGTAGAAAAACAGTAAAAAGATAGATCGAAATATGAAAATTCAAGGAATTATGATATCTGTGCTCTACTTTCAAATTTGTCAAATGCTGTGAAAAAGGACTTTAGGAAGGTAATGCAACTTGATTAATCAGGAAAGAGAAAACTCTTCTTGTTATCTCTTGCAGTTTCAGTTAAAATATTTTAAACATTGACATAGTCCTTCACATGATTATAAGCAAAAATCTGAATCATTTCACGTTTTTATATGGATGTATTTAAAGACACTGTAAATTCTTGACTAAGCAAATTGTACTATCCTATTGGATTTTTACTGTGAATCCAAACTCCTTAGGATTAGGTCATGAAATCCCATTTAGAAACTACATACATTATCAATCTTGCATGGCATTTTTACCTAGATTTTATTTTACACAAGTAATTTACCATCCAAAGACTATGCCCCCAGAACATCCTGCAGTATGAGTAACAGATACTGATCTTCAGCCAAAGTTGCACGACAGAGTCTATTCAAGGTTGGGAATTTGCCACCAGGTGTCATTGTTGCTCTATGCAACTTGATCAGAAACTATTTCAGAATTCCAGTCAATCTTGCCTGAGGATAAAAATATTTCTTCAGGTGGTATAAGAACCTTCTATTAAATAGGCGACTGCTTACGAGTGTTTACGTTTTTACAGGTAATACATATTAAACTAACATACTTCTCAAAACGTGATCCTCAGCAAATACTCAAGAAACTTATCTGAGAACCTTGGTTCTTACTAAAATGGCTGAAAACCGACATACATTAATACTGTGAATGAATTGTAACGACAGTCAGATGATACGTGATGAAACATTTTACCTGTGTGGTAGCTTGATCAAGTTGTGTTCTCATTTGAGTTAGTTTGTCCCTGGTTTTGTTCAGAACTTTATCCTTCTCTGTTAATTCCAACTTCATTCTGTCCAGCTGCAGTTCAGTCTCTTGATGTTTATTCATATGGGATTTCTTCACTTTTTCTTGAGCTTGCAGTTGTTGTTCTAGGTCTTTAACAGTGGAATTTAACTCTGAATTTTAAGAACAGTAAAGATTAAGGATACTTTCTGCTTTGAGAGGTATGTCTTCTAGGTACTCAAATTTCCAAGCATCTACACATTCCAAAAGATTTAGTATGTTTGATAACAACCCAAGTTCCTGACACAGGTAGACACCCTGTAAAACAGTCAGCAAGCTAAAAACAACTTTCAACTCCCTTCTGCTACTACATCACTGACTAAAACTATCAAGACCAAAGATAGTTGACTCTAAATCAATCATTTCCACTTTGTAACATATGAGAACACAGCAAAATGCGAGGTCAGGCACAAAGGCAAAACCAATTTGTTCCTCTGCTGTTTCGTGGGGTTTCGTTCGTGGGTTTTTTGTTTTGTTTTTGCTGTTGTTTTTAAACACACCGAAACATGCCACTTGACATATCTATTTTATTTTATTTTTATTTTTTAAAGGAAAGATATCCACTACAAACATTTGTTTGACACAGCTGCGAGCCTCTGCTTCAAAGAGGCTTTTCAGCTATTGGGCATCTGTAAATACAGTATTTTATATTTTAATCTTTTTCCTGTCCCAAAGCAGCATATATATACATAAGTGAAACCAAGTGATCTTGTCACAGTATACATCAGTAAGAGCTTACCTTCCAAAATCACAACATAATTTTACAGTAGAAAACATTATTCAGCTACACTGTGTGTTATTCAGAATTACTATTATCTGGTAATTGTTTTTATAAAAAAAAAAAACCCAACACACTAAACTGATTCCTGATGCTGAATTTATTTGGCTTCCAAGTTGTAAATAATGCCTAGATGGAAGTTTTACCTGTAGGTAATTTGAATAAACAGTTTGGAGAGTACAGGAACTTTTAAAATAGTCCTACAAGAAACAACGGAAAAGCTGGTCCAAATAGCTGGCTTAAGTGAATGTTCACCCAATCCACAACAACCAGGAACGAGTATTTTTTCATGTCAGTATGCACAATACAAGATCATATTTTGCTTTTTCATTATATTTTTGGCTTTGTACTTCCATGATGTGCTTCCAGTAGCATCCATTACGGACCAATTCGGTTTTGCATTAAGCATGTTCAATCAATGAATTTTTAACACAGGTATTGATTGCACAGTCATAAATCTCAAAAGTCATGTAAAACTAAGAAAGCAATATAATTGAATGTAACAGTGACAGGCAATAAAATAATGAAGAGTTTTTTAACTGTTTGAAGAGAATTGTTCTGTGAGCAATGGAATTATTGGAGAAGGCCATTTTCCTTTTATATGGTGTACCGTTCCCATCCCCAAAATGCAAACTCCTCCCTTCTAACTCTCACACCTCTTATGTAAAAGACACCACAGCTTGTGGATAATCTCCATGTACTGGTTGACCATTGAAAACACACACAGCAGCAGCCAACTGGGCTAGCTGCCAAACAACAGGTATCTTTCTCTTTTCCTCAGTAAAGCACTAATTTCAATACCTCTCCTATCCACACACCAGCTTCCAAGAAACCATATAGGAGACAGCCGCTGGGTTTTAAAGAAATATATCACATACCTTGGTTCTGTGCTCTTAGTTGGATCACGAGTGAAGAACTACAATTCTCAGCAAAACTGTTGTTGAACTCGTTTTCTGATATTACCCTAGAACTTGTCTCTTTTTCCCATGGAAAACAGAATGTTGTAGAACTTCCCCTTGCAGGTGTTTCTTGATTTCTAGATGATGGTGTCTTTTCTTGTTGCCATGAAAACACAGATGAGGAAGCCTGCTGCCGAGCAATCTCCCTGTGACTCAGAGAGCTTTGAGGTTGAGGCTGATTTATTTTCTGTGTCCAAGAAAAAAAAAGGATCTACTTTTACACAGCTCCATATCCAACACATAACAAAATAATTAATTTATTAATAAGTAGATAATAGGCTGTGGTCATTTCACATTTTTATAACATCACATCATCCACCAGTGCAAACTACTGATTCATATAATTTTTTTTTATATTACATAAATTAAATAACTTTAACCCAGGTATCTGAGAATAGCTGTTTCTTAAAAACATAAACCAGGATCTCCAAAACAGTAGTTCAATCTGTGTATCTTTATAAGCAACATACCCAGATTTTTGTCTTTTTCAAGAGAGATCCCATCATTTGCCTCCTACATTTTTCAAAATCAAAGCCTATATTTTTACAGGCAAGTGCTGACACAAGTAAGCTTCAAGAAATACAGCAGTCTAGACTAAAATATCTGACTCACATTTAGTTCTTCTGGACAAACACAGGTAAATTCAGAACAGACTTATTTAATTAAAATTATAAACACTGAATACCCAAAAATCGCAACAACAAAACATGCCAGGTACCAGCTTCCAACTTCTTACCACAGAAAAATTAAACAGTCAAAATACTAGGGGTTTTTTAACCTTCTTAAGTGAAAAAAACCAACCAAACAAAAAACAAACACTGAAGCATCTATTGTATTTTTTAACTAGATTTTCAAATGCCTCTCATTTGAATTTTATTTTTTTCTAAACTAAAGCCCTAAATCAGGTAATACCCAGTCTGACTTCTCAGTGCAACCAGAGAATACATTGTTACATGGGAATAGCTGTGCTAAGACTAGAAATCTATATAGTCAGGAATACTGGAGTCAATCCTGTGAAGTAATTTGTTTATAGATAAAGAGCATAAAAATCTAACCATGCATATAGTAATCATTTCCCTTATATGCCATTTAAATTTACAGACTTTGAGGCAAAGTTTGAACTCAGGAAATTAAGGGGAATTAATCATTTTTACTGAAATACTTTACATGTACTTTCTCTTTTGGATCTGTTTGCATTTTTGGCTTTTTTACAATACTCTGTGACAAAGAGTGCTGCCATTTAACACAGCACAGCATAATAAAATAGGTTTTGCTCTGAGCCTGCAGAGCTGGTATTGTAATTATGCCTTAAGAAAAATAGGAAAATGACCATTCCCTATTCCCTCTCTTGATAATCACTCATCTTTGTACCATTCTCTTCCACCATATCTGTTTGGAGATGAGATGAATAGAATTTGCAAGGAATATTCAAGATGTGAGAGCCATTTGGCTATATATGGGCAAAGGATATTTTCTCATTAGTTCTTAATTCTTTTTCTAAAAAAATTCTTTTTCATCATTGCTGAATGCAATATTGAAGTTTTCAGAGAACTAGCCACAATAATTACTGAATTGCTCCCTGGAATAATTTCATTAGATTTGGAGCCTTAATGTACCAGGTATGCATTGTTCAGATCATGTTTTCCAGATGCGCTACTTCATTTTCTTTTTTTTTTTTTTCCACACTGAATTTTACTTACCATCTTAATTATTGCAATTATTTAGTATTACAAAATGCTATGTAGTCTTCAACCATATTATTAAACTCTTTCTGATCACTAATGAATATGCTGAATAGCAGAGTTCTCTTTAACAATCCTTTTCAGGATTCACCACTGTTGATCATTCCCCAGCTGTAAAAACTGACCATTTATTCCTAGCCCTCAATCTTTACCTTGAAATTCACAAGAAGAACTCCTCTTTGTTAAAATTGTTTCATTTTTTCAGACTTGTGTGGATATTGAACATTGTAGCGAGTCGTACTTAACTCTCACATTCTCTAATTTATCCGTAAAAAAATCCAAAAATTCTGAAAATATGTGATGATTTCCCTTTACAAATAAACGATTGATCTTTTCTCCATACACCATATCTACGTATGCATCAAGAAACACATTGCTTTAACTTCTAACAACTTGCCCAGGACAAAAAGTTGGCCTGACTAAACTACGTTTCTAGGAATCAGCACTATAAACATTTTTTTAAAAGTGGCACCATCCTTGTCACCTTCTAGTGTCAAGAGAAGAATGAAAGACGTTGCACATCACAGTGATTCAGTAGTCCCACACTGCAGTGTCCTATCAATTCATGGGTAAATATTATCTGTATCTGGTGATTTTTTTTCATGACTATTCATTTTATCAATCTGTTTTAAGACTGCTTCTGAGCAGACTTTTGAGGCTGTGCCACAGATTCGACTCCAATAAAGAAAAGCTCTGACACAAAACTTTTTAAGCCTTTAGATAGTAAGTGCCAAATAAAAAATGATATCAGCTTTTCTGCAATGGTCCTTTTTCCCTTAAGGGATTTCATATCTTAGTCATCTATTGGCCTCAGAGAATCCCTAATACATTTTCTACTGCTTGTGTTTGAAAAATTAACTAGCTTTTATTTGCTAGGTGAGTTACTTTTTCATAATCTTTTCAAGGCTATTTTATTATCTTATCTCATTTAACTTGGCAGAACTGACGCTTTTTTCTCTTGTCCTTGCTTGCATGAGACTTCCAGTTTTTGAAGGATATGTTCTCATTTTTAATGTCCTTCTTTCCCTTGCTATTCAATTATGCTGGCTTTTCTAGATTCTCCAAGGTTACTTCTGAATGGCAGTACACAGAGATTAAGTTTGGGGGTTTTTTTGAGTTATACTTTAAGTGATGCAGAATACACTTCGCTAGTTTTCCACTCAATTCTCTAAGTTCACTCAGTAATTACTTCCTTAGATATCATACACACCATTCTCAAAAGATACGTACCTTAACCTGAATGGTTCTCAGTTCTAATTCAAGTTTTTTTCTTTCTTGTACTTCTTTCTTGTATTTGTCTTCTAATTCTTCAAGCTTAGCATCTACAAAAACATTATGAATACTTCTTCATAATCTGACTTAGTACATAGGTAACCTTTTCTAGCCTATTGTTATCATGGGAATGATAAAAATAAACAGCTATGAGAAGTGGCAGATCATGAGGAAGAAACAACTATATATACAATATGTTCAGTAATTTAGGACCTCAAAAGTACACTAGTGGGATACCTGGAACTTGACATTAGAATGAAAACACAACTGTTAAAAGTAAGGATCCAATGCCAGAATTTAATTTTTTTAATCTCTCTAAAAAAAAAAAGTATATATATAATATACATAAACACCTGGGAAAAATATGTGTTACATTATATATACACATACATATAGATGATATACTTTTTTTAAAAACTACTTTTCCTACCAGCAGCCCAATAGCGTTAATATTACTAAGAAATGACCAGAAAATAAGGTGGGATTCTTTCCTTCAGTTCCTTTCAAATGCAATAGGAGTTGGAAAAAGAACTTATTTATGATTCTTCCACTGAAATTGTAAGAGAAGCATATTAGTCCAAAACAAAAGTCTTGCTTCCCTTTTCTTGAATTTGTATATAAATCTACAATTGTCTCAAGAAAATTCTAGAATGCTTTGTACATTCCACGGAGCAGTTGAGAGAAGTGATTGTCCCATTCTACACCGCACTTGAGTACTGCATGCAGTTTTGGGCACCTCAGTGTAAGAAGGACATCAAACTGTTAGAGTGTGTCCAAAGGAGAGCAACTAAGATGGTGAAATGGCAAGACTTATTAGGAGCAGCTGAGGTCACTTGTCTTGTTTAGCTTGGAGAAGAAAAGGCTGACGGGTGACCTCATTGCAGTCTACAACTTCCTCAAGGGGAGCAGCAGACAGGGAGATGCTGATCTCCTCTCTCTGGTGACCAGCGATAAGACACAAGGAAATGGAATGAAGTTGTGTCAGAGGAAGTTCAGATTGGACATTAGGAAGAAGTTCTTCATTGAGAGGGTGATGGGTCACTGGAATAGGGTCCCCAGGGAAGTGGTCACAGCATCAAGCCTGTCAGAGTTCAAGGAGCGTCTGGACGATGCTTTTAATCATATGATTCAGTTTCAGGTAATCCTGTGCAAAGCAGGGAGCTGGACTCCATGATCCTTATGGGTCCTATATTCTATGATCTTAAAGAATTTAAGTCTCCAGCTTTCAAAGGAAGAAACCTCCTCAGCAATACCATTTTAAACAGTTATTTAAATAATTTTAATCTAATCCCCATTTCAGATGCGCCACACTTAGTGGAATGCTTGACATTGCCACTGCTGTACTCCTTTTCAGATGTGTATAAAGAAATTAAAAGGAACAAGAGTGCAAGAAAGTATCTCAAATTCCCATCAGAGTAAGACTAAGATGCCAAACTCACAGAACATTTGTTCACGGCAAAGAAAGAGGCAAATAGCATGCATAATATTGAACCCATCAAAATTTTTCAGCATAGACAGCATCAGGGTGTCTGGCTACAGAACAGTTCTCTAGTTAAGGAAACTTCCTTTTGCTTTTCCAGTTCATTCAAATATTTTAAATCTATTTGATGTCACTAATTTGAAGATAGAAGTGATGCTTTGAAGTGGATACAGTGCATAAATCATGTAGATTATCATGCACAATAATAGTCTAAATAAAAAATAATTTTCTAAAGAAATAACACAAGACTGTTGATTGAACTTTAACTAAAGTACCTGTGGTATCTGAAGGAAAAAATTTGCTCTTCACTACATGAAGAGAAGAGCTGATACTAGGAACAGGCATTCAAAAAATTGCTGAAGTCTGTTGATGAATATTCCTATTACTATTCCATGTCCATCAACGTGGTGCTGAAAAGATGTAATATTTGCACTAAGTGTTCCACCTGCAGTAATAATTTTTAAACTTGGAAACTACAGTGCTATAAATTAGACACTCTCATAATAAGCTATATAACAGGAACTAGGCAACTCAGTACAAGTGTAATGTTCAAAATAGTCTTCCATCTTCCAGGAAAACTGACAGTTAAGTATCTGTGCTAGATGAAGAAAAATTCATTTACCATTATGACTTTTAACTGGTGTTAAAGGAGCAGTAAAACTTCCCTGTGGAGTGCCACTGAATGATAAGTCTCCTGCAATCGATGTTTGCTGACTTCTCTCAAGCTCACATTTGTATCTGTTTAGGAAAGAAGCAGCAGCATAGATTAGTAATGGAAATTAAAAGGTTGATTACCTATTTTTAAGAGCCTGAAATAGACAAAAAAAAAAAAACTTATTCTAAGAACTTAGTTTACAGATCAAGTCAAGATATGTCCTCTGAAAATTTTCAGGTACCATAACAGTGAAATATGAAGAATATATTTTACTTAGAGTTTCAACATATTTAATCAATTACATAGGAGTCGAAGCTAAAAACCAAACCCAAACAAACCCAAAGTAGATGAAAAATCTGTTAGAACTGCTTAAGATCTCACTGTATGAATCTGTAGTTCAGCTAAACACACCCAAATCACTGCAAACACTGACAATATAAAACTCTTTAGTAAGCATTTTTATGGTAGGAAACATACTACTTTTATTCTATGTTCTGATACTGCACAATCTGAGAAACCTACGCTTACCTCATGAAAACAGAAGAGCATAGCCTCCACCCAACAGTATTTTTTGTGTGTACCATTTACAGTGCTACACAAAACACCACAGCAGACTACCCATTCTAGTGATTTTTGTGAGCATGAAGAGTTACAAGGTCATCCAATGAAACTGGATAACTAGTTTGGAAGTTATACAGCAATCTTCATCCTGCCCAGTAGCACAGGCTGATAAGACAATGGTTCCAGGCTGCAGCACATCACACTAGTGACTCCACAACTTGCCTTTCCATCTCCCCTCCATTTTACAACAAGACATCAAGAACTCCTCTCCCAGAGGACTGTCAGTTGCTATGAAGTGGTAGATGATCAGTTATCAGCATAAAACAAAACAGAATCAAATACAAAACCAAACTGATTGCCAAAATCAAGCTACATGTAGTAACTGTTGATCTTTCATAGTGGACAGCTGTGCAAAGTAATATAATAGGAAGGAGATAATAAACTGGACTTAATTTTGGGAATGGATAAATGGAACACATATCCTTAGTCTCTCTGGCCCAATGTTTGCCAGCAGATACAGAAAACATGAATATGGTTCTATCAACCCTGTTGAATCTCACTAGATTCTACTCCAACAGATCTCAGCAAAGACAGTGTTTCTACACACCATGAATTGTTTTGCTGAAATTTAGAATCTTCTCACAACAGCCAAATACTTCACACATCTTTAGTTCTACTCCAAGGAAGGGGTTGAGAGGCCAAAGGGAAAAATCAGAAAGACCAACACAGCTTCCTCTTTATTTGCTTCTATTAGGACACACATGAGGCATACCATCCAGAAGTTGAAGTCGAATACTTCAGGCCATGGAAAAAACCCACAACCCAACCCAAAACCAAACCACTAAGAAACATGGTATCACAGTCTCATCCCTCTCTGTGACAGTAATTCTGCGGTACTATAGTTTATGACACAGGCAGAACACTCAGCCTTGTTGACGCACATGATGTTTCAGAAATACTTTTATTCAAGAATGGGAGATGCCTCTAGTAACAGGAAGTTTAACAGATGACAATATTCACCTCATTATGTGTGAGGTGTTCCCTTTGTGTAGCACCCTCAGACTAAGGTTTTTAGATGTCTGCATTACAGGAGATTCCTTTATTGCACAAATTGTGTTTCACCTCTACAGACAGCACACATACTGCCTCAGTAATAACAGCGTTTACAAGTTGAGGTGTTTGAATCAGGCACTTTACCAAAGCAACTGGATTCAGTGATTCACACACAGCATCATTGCTTTTGGCAGCTTCTTCTTTCACTCCAGTAGACGGTCATGCCTCCTTCTTACAGCACTCCTATTTTATTGGCAGACTGTCTTACAGACTGAATTCTCCATGTGCTTTCCATGCAGCTCCAAACTCTTTGCAGGTTACTTTTGCAAAGTGACTCAGTTGCACTGGGTGGTTTTGTTTGTGGGTTTTTTTGGTAGGTTGTTTGTTTGGGTTTTTTTTTTTTTTAAAAAATCACAGAACCAATAGCTCCCTTTTCACATTACACTGCAGAATTCCCCTGAATTAAACAGGAACTACAGGTGCTAACTGCTTCAAGTGGCACATGGATTAATGTAGAAGTCCATATATGCATGTCTATGTGTGTAAAAACAGGACAATATTTTGAAACTTTGGTGACAAAATCTGAATGAAGTATGAGATGAAGAGAAACTGAAATACCATGAAGATGCATTAAATGAGCAAAACATGAAAAATAACCATTATACATAGGTTAGAGACATGCAGAAAGTCCTCACCTTTTCAGTTCTTGTTCTAGTCTTTCGATGTCTTTCCTGCTGGAATTCAGTTGCCCTGACTGAATGTTGACTTGAGATTCTTTTACTTGAAGATCATGTGAAATTTTCTGCTTTGCTTTCTCAAGACTATCACACAACTCCATCAAGCTCTGGTTCTCTCTTTTTAGAGTTGCAGCTTCATTTTTTTCATTTTCAATCTAGTTGGAATATAAACCATGTGAAAAAGTGTCTCAAGTCCTCTCTACACTTCTGTGCAATTATTAGTTCAGTAACACAAAGTTTACATGCTGCTATTTTCTTCCTAGCATTTCAAAATCCTGACAGCACTGAAAACCTCAGATATATACATTAAGTATTCTTGAGTGTGAGCAAAACCACATTTCCTAAATCTCAACTCGGTCATATTAACAATTTCTATTTATTGACTAGAAATAAGCTCATCGAAATTCCATCAATCCTTAAATACTAATAATCCACACTAGTCCGCATTCTTCTTTCCAGCCTATCAACTTTAGCAACCAGAATACCTTAACTCGCTAAACAGAGAACACACAATGATTATCCAGAGTCCCTGCTTTGAAATTAGAAATAAAACCTGGCAGCAGAGATATTCTTCTCCTCCTGTCCAGCTTCTGAGGGGCAGGCTACACCTTTGCACAACATTATTCTTTTGACTGAAAAGTAGTGAGTATTAGCTGCTGTTTCTGAGAGTTTCAAAGCACACCTATTAGAGTGCACTCCTTTTTGTTTGGAAAGCACAGGGGTTCCTCTGGATGGTTGAGACAAGTACCTGGAAATTCACAGGAAGAAACTCAAAGAAAACTACTAGGCTTAAGTTTTGCTAGAAAGTTGTAGCATCCTAAAAGGAATAAAAGGCAACCTTTGTAAATTGCCTCTGAGCTGTATTCAAACATTACAAAACAAAATTCAAGCAAATGGGTCACTTCTGATAGGAAGCATGTGATGACCAAGAGAATCTCTAGTTTCCTGGCAAGAGGGCTGACAGGGTAGAATCAGATGAGGTGTAAAATTACAGCCCTAAACCAGAAAACCAAATCCCACAATACAGTCTTCACAAGGGGGTATAACAATATTTTCCCTAATCGTAAAGAGATGTAGGAAAGCCTCTAAGTAAACATAAACACATGGAGATGGGCAATCACACCAAACACAGATAGAAGGCAGGAATTCTGTTAACAGTCAATGAGAACTAAACAGAAGGGAGAATATGATGAGCATGAAGTAAGGGGAAGATAAGCAGTTTATATATCTATGCTACCTTTCCAGTCAGTCGGGGGAGAACCAAAACACTTACCAACCCACCTCCTGACAACAACCAGATAATAAATCTTTATAATTGTGTTTGGCATGGAGAATGGTATTTTAAGGAAATGACTGCAGTACCTACATTACCTTCTGTTTCTGATTTTGCAAAGCTGCCTCCAAAGACTCTAACTGGAATTGTCTTTGCTGACGCTCCTTTTTAAGCTTGTCTACCTGACTTTCCAGCTCATGAATCTTCTGAAGGACTCTGGGGGAGAGGCCTTCTTTCCATTCTTCCATGGCCCAGCTCATATTGACAGGATTCTTGTTTAACACAAAACGGCTAATAATATGCCTGAAACAAAAGATAACTACAGTTAGACCTTGAAAGAGGTTAAATAAGCCTCCCTTTTAAGTAAATCACAATTTTAACCTTAGCAGAGATTAGAATACAGCATTTCATAACCGTGCAGGCTTCCTGATCTAAACACCAAGCAATAACTTTTAACATTAGGTCCTATTTTGACACAGTTGGGATGAGATTCAAAAACCTCACATTAATCAATCTCCTAACAATAACAGGGTTTATAGTCTTATAATTGCATTTGACTGCTGTATTTCAGGAAGTTTCTCTCCACATCTTATTCCAGTGTTCAGGCTACAGAAAGCCATTAGTGCTTAGAACTGCTTTGTACTTCTGTGGTGTTTAACCCGAAAGCCTTGCAAAAAAGCCACAGCTTTGTTTCAGGTGGCAGCTATGCTTCTTTCTTTGCAGAAGTGTTTCAAACCAATACTGCTGAGCTTGAGGCACTGAGAATGTTGTCTACTGGCAGAAACAACTGTACGATACCCAGTCCTTAAACACAAGTTTGACAAGCTCACACGAGTTTATTTGTTGTTGCAATGACTGCACCTGCAGAGGATCTGGCATGGGCTTACTTTCTCGAGACACCAGCACAGCTCGGAGATCATTTGCGAGAGAGAAGTTACCTCAAAATGACTAAAACTAGAGATGAACAACGGACGGACAGAGCCCACGCAGGACTGGGGAGGGGCAGGGGGGTGACGAACCTCACCGGGCTCGACTCTCAGCTCGGGGAGC